TTTTTCACACCACTGTATATATATTTATATGCCTTATATTGTTAAATAAAGGTATTTCTACCCAGTACATATACAAAACCTTTGTCCCCATTTCAAACTTTCAACTATTTTTGCTGGAGCATGTCCTGTAAAGCAGACTTATACATTAGTTTACTTCTAAATCACATTAAGAATCAAGATTTGTAAGTCTAAAGCAGCGGTACTCAAACTGTGGGGCAGGCCCTGGCATAGAGCCACTGCAGGTGGGGCGCGGATGACCAGAGGAAAAAAATATGGAGTGGAACACAGTTGAATGAATATGATTTATGTAGGAAAAATAAACAAGTAGGTTTCGGTTCCCCATTGCTAGCAATTGCTAAAAATTGTGGGTTGTGAGGCGGGAACTTCTTTTGGCTTCTGAAGGAGGGCATGCCAGAAAATGTTTGAGAACCAGCATTCTACAGTAATCCATTTAAATGCTCTTTTGAACATGTTGATACATCTGTAAAATCTGCTCTAGTGCTTCTACTAGGTGATTAAGGCATGTATTCTTCCAGTCACTCAAAGTACATGACAATATGTATGAATACACTACTGAGATGTCAGCTTCTTATTATCAAATAAGTTTCCTAAAGAAGACAAAAACAGGAACATCTACACTAAATCTAAATCAATTCACACTGGATTCTAATTTTGGAATTTCAACTAATAATAATTTAGCTCAAGCATCAATCTGTATAAACTAGGATCAAACTTTAAAACTACTCTGCTGTGTTCAAGTCTTACCAGACATCAGCCTTCCTGCCGTAGCCCTCTCCACTGATCACTTCCGGGCTCATCCAGTAGGGGGTGCCGGTCACAGAGCGGATGCCGGTGCCAGACATGCAGATGGTCTGCAGCCTCTTGCTGGCACCGAAATCTCCAAGCTTCACATTGCCCTCTGAATCCCGCAGGATGTTGGCACCTGACAGCCAGAGTTGACAGGGAACACGTAAATATTTTACTTCACCAATAACCTTCTAGATGACGTGAAACACAAACATTTATATATTATAACACTGTCTAAACATTTATCCAGTGTCTAAAATAGTATAATACTCAAGCCCGTGTAGTTTAACAGGACTACCTTTGATGTCCCTGTGTACAATCATGTTGCTGTGCAGATAGGACATGCCCTCCAGGATCTGTCTTGTGTACTTCCGGGTCACATTTTCTGTCAGGGCCCCATAGGCCTTCAGCTGGTCTTTGACTGAACCCTGATAGGAAGAAAGCACATGTGTTACAGTCTGTTGCCTAAAGACATGAGTGCAACAACACACAGATTGTGAACACATGCAAGGTTTAAGACCACTAATCTACCCCATCGCCAAAGGTCTGAGCCAGGAACATAGGAAGTATAGGAGCCAAGCAAATATCTGGCACTTTAAGGATGTCTGTGATGCATTCAAGGCAGGAGCTATGTAATAGGCCTTTTTGACCAAGTAGTGCCAGATACTAAGGATTCCCAGGAACTGAACACAAAATCTAAATCCGGGACTCAAACTTTCTTTGTTGTGTTTGCATATTCACTGCATCTACAGAACTGCAGTAATTAGGGAAAACAGACAAAGATAAAAACAGACAGATAAAAAGAGACAAAGCAGCACTGATCTGCTCTGTGAGTAAAAATGTGTGGATCCCAGGACCTCATTAAAACTGTCTGACTACTGACTGACTGTACAACATCAGTGTGTGTTTTTTCTGGTTCTTTTTCTGCTTTAGTACATAACTTCATCTTCCACTGTCTCTTTAGCTCGCATGTTTTTTGTCAGGAAGTTGGCTACACAGCCAAGGCCCTAAAATTGAAACAAGGTTACTGAAGTTCCTAAAAGGGTTCCTGGATTATTCCTCGTATAAAAACCATGGACATAATTAGAGAAAACATGCCAAACCACTTTTCTGATGATTCTGCATGATATTGTTTATATCACCAGCTTGATATCAAATCAAAATGTTGTCATGGGAACTGATTGTTGTCCTTTGTTTATTTCCTCCTGTCTTTATATGTATCTTATGTGACAGGATTTGTTACCAGAGTTTAAATGACCAGCATGTAAGATTTAGTGGCATTTAGTGGTGAAGTTACAGATTGCAAACAACTGAATACAGCTCAGCCTTTAAAGTGTGTAGGAGAAACCACAGTGGCTGCAAACCTTGCGAAAAACGCAAAAGGCCCTCTCTAGAGCCAGTGTTAAGTTTGTCTATTTAGGGCTACTGTAGAAACATGGTTGTTCAACATGGCGGATTCCGTAGAAGAGGACCCACTCCCTCTGTAGATAAAAACAGCTCATTCTAATGCAACAAAAACACAACGATTCCCATATTCCTACACATGTTATGGAATTAACCATTGCTCTGAGCCTTTTGCTTGAAGTTGCTGGGACTCACCCCCGGCATGTACTCCATGAAAATAGTGAGGGTCTTCTCATTGTGGTCCCTCAGACAGCCGTAGTACTGAACAATGCGCTCGTGATGCAGATTTTTAAGCAACTGGATTTCGCACTCCAAAGCGCTGACCTCCTGTACAGACACAAAAAGAAGTAGGGAAATTACACAGTACAAGATTCAAACGGCTGCTCAGGGATTAAACATAAAAACGGTCATTTCTAAACAATGCATCTTTGTTGATTTACTGTTTTACTGTTTTCATTTGCAAATAAATTGCATTTTTCAGACATGGTGGAGCCCTTCAGGCTCTGTCATATCTGTTACCACTGATGACATTCGATTAAACAATAAACACAGGGATAACAAACAGTGATTTATGAGTGCATGTGAAGTCAGCCAAAAGTGAAACCTAAAGCAGAGAGTAAATGAAAACCAAGAGCACAGTTCCCCAAAAGAAGTTCCTGTGTTTACTTCAGAGAATGAGGCCACAAAAGAGAGAGAGATACAGAGACAGAGAGAGAGAGAG